TGGATGGGGCTGTGAGCAACCTGATGTGGTTCAAGGTGTCCCTGCTCCTGCAGGGGGGTTGGGCTGGGTGACCCCTGGGAGTCCCTTCCCACCCAAAACATTCTAGGATTCTATGATTTCAGGGCTTGGCACTGCGATTCCCCTGCCAAAGCCGGGTCCCTGTGCCCAGCAGAGGGGTCAGAGCTGGAGCTCAGCAGCTAGGGCCAGCATGGGCTGGGGTGGCTTTGTGGGTTCATTCTTTGTCTTCAAGTCCAGGGAGCAGCTGATATCCCAGGGAGCCCGCAGAGCGCGCGTGCTGCTCTCTCAGTGCTCTGGCAGTACCTGTGCTGCTGCAGAGGCTGCCCAGCACACGGCATTGGGACAGCCTGGGGTGACCCACTGGTGTCTCCTTGCCTGCCCCCGAAGGTGCCCAGCTGCCACACATCCCCAGCCCAGCCTGCGTGCTGCCTGACGCTCTCTTCTCCCCGATTTAAATGGCAGTGACTTCTTGGTCCTGGGCAGCACGGGCTTGCGGGGAGGTGAAGAAGGCTATGGCAGCCAGCAGTGCGGCACTGCCCGCTCCGCGGACATGGCCTTGGCAGTGCACTTGCCAGATGCCATTCTGCAGTGCTGCCCCTCACCCCCATCGCCGCCCAGCCCTGACTGCTCTGTCCCCTGGGACACCCAGGTGCTCATGATGGGACACAGCAGAGCCCCAGCAGCTCAGCTCCTGCACGGGGCAGCAGAAGTGCTTGTTCTGCACCATATCCCCACATTACTATGCTCTTTTCTCAGGGAAACTGTCTTGCTGCTTGCCCTCAGAGGCGAAAATGAACCTCATCCCAAATTCCCCGCCTATACCAAGAATAAAAATGAGAAACTGCTCCATGGCTGGGCACAGGGATGGCCTGTGGGCAGAAAGGGTCTTTCTCCAAGGAAGAACCTTGGTTTACGAGCCTTACAGCTGGTAAAACATTTCCACCCTCTTTGATCCTGTATTATCAGTGACTTGGAATAATTGGGTTCCATTCCTCGTGGTGGCTGTCCCTCACTTCTGCTGCGGCAGACTGATTAGGGGTAATTATCACCCTTTTTACCAGCCGAAGTGCAAGGCACAGTTCACACTCCTTGCAGGAAGCAGGAAAGGGATTTTGCAGCTGAGGCGTGATGAGGAAGCACATGGCAAGGATGCCTGGAACTGCCAGGGCCGGGACAGCATCAAGCTCTGGAGAAGGGCTTAGCACCGGGTGGCGTCTCCTGAGGCATTTGGGGGGAGATAAACAGGAAGTCTGAAGCTGTAACGTGGTCGGGAGGTGATCCTTTGACCATGAGGAGGCTCCTGGGCCGATTAGTTTCCAGAAGCAGCATTTGAACCCCTCTGCATACAAAATGCAGACTGAAGCCAATGGAGGGAGCGATCAGCAGGGGCTGGAATGGGCAAAGGAGCGGCTTCTGGACCAGGCCCTCTGCGGGCAGTCCCAAGGACTCTCATCTCTCTCCTCCGTTTCCCTTGCTGGACAAAGGGAGTAATGAGATACCAATTCTAAGGTCAAAGGGATCATCCAGGCTTTCCTCCTGCCTAATGTGAGGCAGATAATCTCTCCCCTGTATCACATTCCTCCTGCCCCCGTGCAGGATCAGTGCTCATCTACTGCATGGGATCTCCGTCAAATGAATATTTGCAACAATTTCTGAGATTTGCACAGGGAAGACAGAGTACTACACCCTTAAGTTCTTCCTGCACTCAGCTAGTTCAGCAGCGCTGCGTTCCAGGTAGGGAGAACATTTCTTCCTAATCTCAATTTATGACAAACACTGAAGCATGAGGCTGGATCGATTGCACAAGAAGATTGTGTCTTAGTAACTCGTGTGAATGCTGCAGCAGCTGTGCTAATTCATCGTGCCTTTATTTATGAAATCTATGTGCAGGTTGAACGCAATTAAATGCTGTGCTTTGGGATCCTAGGGGATGAAAGGATCACTGTAAATGTAGGTTTGTTATCCTGATTTACCGTGCACTGAGCCCACCCACAACAGCCATGACAGATCAGATGTGAAACATAAGGTTGAAAAAACTGTAATCCAGCAATTGCTGTCACAAGCTGCATTTGTCAGCGTGTTTGATCTGGGTGCCTTTCCCCCTCTTTTCGGAGAACTCGAGTCTCCTTGAGGCATCTTCCTCTGACAGGCAATTGAAGAGCTTGTAAAAATAATTTTGGGGGAGGCTGAAATATTTGACACCTGCTCTGCAGTAATAACACCTGGCATGCTCAGGCTTTAGGAAGAGACCTTACGCACCTTGCAGGTACTTATTAAGTACCTCCTCTGGCCTCCTGGGCAGCACTTACAGACTGGGACCTGCAGCACAGGGAAGGAGATGAAGGAACTGATGCTGGGGGAGTCCGGGCTCATGCAAGGTTAGCAACTCTTGTCATGACTTCCCTGCTTTAAAAGTGCTTTCGTTTGTCAAGCTATACATTGCTTTCCTTTTCTTTACTATAAGAGCCGTGCTGGCATGTGATGGGAACTGCTGACCGTGCACTGGCCGGGAGGGGGCTCAAGAGTGGCAGGGGCCCGATCCTGACCTGAAACACCAGGGTCAGGAGGGGAAGGAGTTGTTAAAGGGGTGGAGCGGGCTAGAGATGGGCTGGCAGCATCTCTGCGGGCCTGTGGCTTGCTGGTGCCCTCCTGTGGGAGGCGAGGCTGGTGGTGGGTGCTTTGCGCTCCTTGCAGCGTGCTGGGGCCGATGGGTCTGGATGCGTGCCCAGGGCTGGAGGTGGTGCTGGGGAAGCTGAGGTAAGGCAGCTGCTGGGTACCATGGGTGAAGGGGTGCGCTCAGGATGAGGTGCTGTGAGATGAGCCTAGCTGTGGCCTGCTGGCCCATGTGGGTGTCTGGCACGGGCTGAACTGACCCAGTTTGTCCTTGGCTCTTGGTAGGCACTGCTGGACCACCCCCTGGCTGCAGGTCCTAGTGACCCTGTTCTCTTCCCCGTTGGAAAACATGCCTGGCTTTCTGTTGGCCCCTGGCTTCCTCTGGTTCTCTGTAATGGCTCTGCCTCTGTCCTCCTCAGATCAGAGAGCCCTCTCAGTGCCTGGGTTGTGCCCTCAGGAGTGCCAGTTCTGCTGGCATGAACCAGAACACGCCACTGATGCATGAAAAGTCCTCAGCATTACAGACATGATGCAAAGGCTCTGGTATTTTCTAATGCAGCGCCTGCAGTTGCAGCCTGCCCCACAGTAAGCACTGGGCATGCAGCTGACTCCCAGAGAAACCTGTCTCCGTTCAGGGTAGTGATAGCAGAGAGTTTGGGGAGGAAGGGTTGCACTTGCCTTTCTGCGTGCTTTGAATGTCGTTGCAGATTAAGCAAGCAGGGTGTTTGACACAGCAAAGGTTGCACATCATGCTGCTTCAGTCTGCCCAAAGGGAAGGGCTGAACACTGGAGTAACTCTTGTCCCATGACAGTGGGAACTTGCTGTTGCTCCTTCAAGGACTTGGGCAGCTCCCAGGATGCTGGCAAGGGGTGTGGGTGAAGAGCAGACGGGTCAAAGAGGAGTCAGGATGGAGGGCAAAAGCAGGCAGAGGAGAGGGGAAGTCCAAGGAGCAGTGGTGAACCTCTGTGAGAAGGGGAGAACTCAGGGTGGGAGTCCCAGGCCCAGTGTTTACAGCTGGGGAGGGAATGAGCTTTGTTTTTTTTTTTTTTTTTAAAAAAAAAAAAAGAAAATTAATCCCACCCAGTAACTGAAATGGTGTAGGTGACCCCATCACCCCTAAACCTGCAGATTATGGTCACTGGGTCTCCAGGCTGGATGGGAAGCACACCCTGGCCCTTAACTGTGGGCTCATTTTAAAAATACAAGTATGAGAAATAGCTCAAGAGTCTTCCCAAGCACCCAGGTAGGAATTGTTTTGCCTTGCTTTGCGCCTTAAGCACTTGCACGCACCAGGAATTCAACTGTCCCAGTCCTCACCGGGCAGTTTGGGGGCTGGTCTGCCAGGCCCCATGGGGCTGACCTGCCTGCATTCCCTGGCTGGTGGCACAGCTCTGCTGCGGGCATGAGGGGTGCTCGCTTCGATCCCTTCTCCTTGCTCTGTTCCAGAGACTACTCCACTGATCCCACTGGTCCTGGGCGCTCATTAGTGCTGATGAGAGCTCCGGGTGGTGTCTAATTGATGCCACCCCTTCCCAAGACAGCATGAGGGAAATGCTGCTGCTGTAGGTGTGGGCAGGAAACCTTGAAAGGGATGAAAAAGGAGGGGAGAAGGTGTGAGGCTACAGAAACACTTGGGAGGGGCTTTAAAGTGGTGTGTTTTTTTTTTTTTAATGGAAAATGGTGAACAGCATGAAGCCTAGATCAGAAGATTGTTGTGTCCTGTCTGGTGCCCCTCACCACACAGCTTTGAGAGCCTTCTATCCTAGCACAGGGCCCAGCAGGGGCTGTGCAATTCAGAAGGTTATTTTGCCTCAGACCTGCGGCATGGGGCTGGGGGCAGCTCATCAAACTGCCAGGTTGGAAGGTGGATCTGTGAACGGGGTGAGCTGGGTACCGGCTCCGGAGCGCTGCACGGGGGGGCTCCGGGGAGAGCACATGGGGGGGCTCC